AGACCATGGAGGCATACGTCGACGACATGCTGATCAAAAGCCAGGTATCTCTGAACCACCCGGCTGATATGCGAGCCACGTTCGATATCATGGCAAGGTACAACCTCCGGCTGAATCCTAAGAAATGCGTCTTCGCGGTTCGTACCGGGAAGTTCTTGGGATTCATGGTGACCAAGAGAGGAATAGAGCCCAACCCAGAGAAAATCCGGGCTATCACTGAAATGCAAGCCCCTACCTCCGTTAGGGATGATCAAAAGTTGACCGGTCGTTTAGCGGCCCTCAGCCGGTTCCTTTCCCGGTCAGCGGAGAGATCCCTGCCCTTCTTCAAAGTCCTGAAGAAGGCCAACGGATTTGCATGGGACGAAGAATGCCGGAGGGCATTCGAGGAGCTGAAAGTGTACCTAGCGTCGGATATTGTATTGTCTAAACCCGAACCGGGTGAAACTCTGTATCTGTACCTAGGAGTTTCCCCAAATGCTGTAAGCTCTGTTTTAATAAGAGATGATGGGGCACAAAAGCCCATTTATTATGTGAGCAAATCACTAAACGGGGCTGAGAGTAGATATACGGCGATGGAAAAGACAGCCTACGCGCTTTTCATCTCCGCAAAAAAGTTAACATCCTACTTCCAAGCTCACCCGGTAGCAGTCTTAACTGACCAACCGCTGGGTGCAGTGTTGCGAAATTCAACATCCTCCGGGAGGATGGTGAAGTGGGCGATGATGTTAACTCAATTCCACATTGAGTACCGGCCAAGGTCAGCAATCAAGGGACATGCCCTAGCCGACTTCCTAGTAGAAATGACCGGTCTAACTCCAGACCTACCGGTTAACAAACCCCCTGAGCAATGGTGGAAGATGGAAGTTGATGGGGCATCCGGTCCTAGGGGATACGGGGGTGGTATCGTGTTCACCACCCCAGAAGGGTTCAAGATCTACCATGCAATCATCTTCAACTTCAAGCTGACGAACAATGAGGCAGAATATGAAGCTCTGGATGGAGGGCTCAGACTTGCCCAAGCCCTGAAAATCAGCCGGGTCAGTATCAAATCTGACTCTAGCCTGATAGTAGGGCAGGTGACCGGTAACATGGAAGCAAGGGAAGGACGCATGGCACAATACAAGGACCTTGTACTTGCCCTGTTGAAAGGCTTCGAAGAATTCAAGATCGCCCAAATTCCCCGGGCGGAGAACGCG